CTCGATTGATATGTTGGCAAAATATTTAGCTAAACAAGAATTCTGGGCCTTTAACAATTAATTAATCTCCATTGTTTTCGAAACAGTGTTTAGGATATCTACTAAACCTAACCGTCAAAGCATAACAGGTAAATATAATTATTCCGTCATATTGTACGCAAATTCAGCAATCCGAGCCGTAATGAAGTGCCTCAAAGTGGATTTATTCCGTCAAAGCATTCCGCTGTCAATATGTTGTGAACAAACCGGCCCGTTTGTAATTATGAGGCTGTGTTGTGTCGGCCTTTATTACTTCTTGCAGGTGACGTCAAATCAGGCCCGATCAAAGTGAGTGCTTTTAATAAAGCGCCCGTTACTAGACTATACAATCGGTTATATCAATAGCCATGGTCTACATACATACATACGATTATTCCGATCACTCTAGACAGATGTACATATGACTGAGTAATCTACGTATTGCTATATGCGAGGTATGTCGCATCCATTAGTCATGGCACCGAATAATTTGATATGTGTACGTAAATATGCTCTAGTTAGTATATTTGGTTACGTAAATTATAAGCAGACATTAATTTATCATCGTTTAGATTTAGTTATGAATATGACAAATTACGTGCTGAGTTTAAATTTCGCTCAACTGCGAATAAGCTTGTGTTAATAATTCTCCTCTTAATATGTTTTTACTGATGAGACAACTGTACCTAGTAATAGAAAATGTTACACGAATAAACCTAATTACCGACAATTAATTAATTGTCGTGAATTTTAAAGTAAAAAGTATTTTGACGAAACAGGTTTATTATACCATGGTAGAATTTCTAAACTTAATATACGTACATATATACATATATATTCATTATAAATAAGTTTGTCTCGTGAAATGTTAAAAACAGAGAAAGTGCTGGTCACTTCTGCCCGTATTGATTCGATGGCGAAGCAGAAAAGAGAACATAGATTGAATTATTGTGATTTGTCATTATAGTGTGCGTATAATTTTCTCTGCAAAGCAAATATTTTAAGTCAATGCATATGTATTAGAAATAAATAAGTTTTACTACAATTAGACTATGCTATTTGATAAAATTTATTAATAACAAAAATTAAATTATATTAAAAATTTATTTATACAATACAACATTGATCGCAAGATTTTTTATATTTCTCTCCCTAAGAGTAAAGCTATTTTAGTAAAAGCAAAATCTGCTAGCATTGAAGTGTGTAGCAGGTGTGTAACGATAAGTTCTCACGCGAAATAGATCAGCAAAAATCTCACCCTACGCGTAATACGCACGCATAAATCTCATTAAGCCAAGTTTGTGATATTTCTAGTTTAATCGAAGTACGTAAATAGAACCCTCGAGTCTAGGGGTTGAACAGGTGACAGTTCGACGAAGTCCAGTTTGCATTTTGCGACCCCTACCTTGTGAACAAATTAAAATTGTCGCTATACAACAATAATATTTTTTTTATTGATTTAGATAAAAAATATTAATAATAATATTAATCAATAAATAGTTTTAATTAATAAAACAAATTTCTTGTGAAATTATGTCATAGTTAATTTTTATATACATATATTATGCACATATCTTATAGCAATAACTTAGCCAGGAAATAAAAAAAATATATACAAATATACATACATACATATATAATTTTGAGATTAAATATATTAATACAATTTTTTAATACAATATTTTTAATACAATATTTTTAATAATATTTTACTATGACTAGTTTAGTTCACAACCCCACCGAGATTTTAGCGTGGTACAGGGGTGAGCTGAATTATTAATGGCTCGAATGAATGGTCGCTTTAATTCACTGGACATTCGCACACCGATCGCGATATTGTAATTACCATAAGAATCTGTTTCCCACGAACCAGTTTTATTGTTTCGTGTTATTTTTTAGCAAATTATAAATTCGTCTAGTTCAGTATGGGAATAAGAATGTCTTTGTGTTAATATACGATTATATAGGGTTAAAATGATAATTAAAAATATTAATAAAATATTCGTAATCTTCTGGTGACGCGTTTATTATTTTTAGTGATGTACATACGAGGTACTCGAACCTATATGTTTCTTAAATACAATTATATGACTTAGTTCTACCTTACAATGCTTTACTTCACCATTTTTCTTCCAACTTCGCGGTTGACCAGAGCAAACTACATATATCGTGTGAGATACATTATATTAATATATGACATTATGGTGGTTATTTTTCTTTACATTCTTAAAATAAAATTCCATAAATAAAGCCCAAAACTTAGTTTATGCCAATTAAATGTAAATTATCTAATTTGTAAAACAAATATAGAGTTGTAATTCATACGGATATTAGTTCTATTAATATGTGCTTCGGGCAAGAGGGCTACGCTATACAATAAAATCTTATTATTTCTTTTACAAAGCGAACTATTTTCAATCGGAATGGTCCCGTCGGAACTTGTATTGTTTCCGCGCCAGGGATAAGCAAATTAGAAGGGAATGCTTTGAAAATTGAACTCCTTTTGATAGCAGTTGCTTCATTTCAAATATTATTTATTCTCTTTGTTCATTTATGATTGTGTAAATACAAGATTTAATTTTAAAGTTTATATTCGTATCCGTCAAAACTATTTTTATCTGATAAGTATTTTTTTTGAGGTACGATTGAGATGGACAAATGAAGACTTATCTCTAAAAGAGATTTCGTCCAGCGTAAAGAAGTATTGTAATAAATCAGGTCAAAACAGTGCGGTTAATATAAATTAGAATTTAAATATAAATAGTTAAATAATAAACTTTATAGATATATTGGATACTATATAATATGGATACAGATGACCAAAAACCAAATTCATAGATTTTACATATTAGTATACTCCTACATTGCAGTTTTTGTATTTTTTCTCAGAAATTAGACATTTTACCGCAGTAAAAAATATCCTACATGTTGACCCAGATAACCAATTATCATCATACCAAATTTCATCAAAACCCCTCCAGTGGTTTTTCCGTGATGCGGTAACAGACAGACAGACACACAAAAATTCTAAAAACAACAACAAAAAGTTTACATCAATAAGATTTCCCAAAAAATATTTAATGTACAGATTCGGCTTAGTTACAATTTTATTATATATATAGATTATACAGTCCAATATATATAATATTTGCAAGTTGAAAAGTATATTTTTGAGATATTTATTTATATAAAGTTGTTATTAGTATCACATACAGTATACGAGTATTCTAAATGGTTTACTCAAGTACCTATCTCCGAGTTAGGCAAATAAGATCTATTCCTTATTTGCCTCATTGGCTACGTCAGCTACGAACTCCGTAGCTGTTTACGTAGCGCTTACGTAGCGATACATTAGTGCTGCGCTTGGTTTGTTGTTCTAGAGACTTACCGTTCAGGGTACCTTCAATATAATTCACTGAGTATTTACTTAGATAATATCTTAGTTTCTAAATTCATAGCCCATTCATGTATATATACTAGTATTTGCCCGCAACTTTACTCACGCAGTACACACAAATTTTCGCAATTATAATATGAGTGTGAAGAGATTTGGTTATTTTACATTTTGATGATATTGTTCAGTATATTTCATTGACATTTATGTTCTTCAAATAATAATCTGGTAATGATTTTTGACGTTTATTTTATAAGCCGCAAGAAATTGACGCGTGCATAAAAATAAAGTCAATATTATCTATTGACGATAAAAAATCAACGAGAAGTATTGAAATATTCGAATTTCGAATTTTCGAATTCGTAGTTATTGTACATTTTTTTAATAATAATAGTTAGTCGTGTTTTTTTTTCTATACTATTTGGCAGTACCGTTTGTTGTATACATAATTTTAATATAGAGAAAAAAATATTTATTTCAGTAAAGAGATGTTTTTTAATGTGAATATAGCATTAAACGAGAATAGATTCGTACAACTGTAAGGGAGGGATTGAATCCGTGGTTTGTAGTAAATAAGGGACGCTTAATACACTACCAACACAGGATTAGCATCTAAACACTTAATGTTATTCGTTTGATTACTCTAAATACAAACTAAGACCATCCATTTAACGTTATCCCAATGAATATTCGGATATCTTTACACTTATCGCTTCTTTGAAATATCAAATTGCTTGTTAAAATAAACAAAGAATATTCTTAATTGTACCTTGTAAATAATTAATGAAAATATATTATTTGATGAAAATATTTACCATCGTAAATGAAATATTATTAATTATTATGAAAATATTTATAATATCAAATATTTCATCGTTTCAATAATTTTAAACAATAGATGTAAGGGCGTTCCTACTGGAGGAGATGCTGTAAACGTTCTTTGATATTCGTACCGTGCTTTATAAATTTAGATAGTGGTTGTAGCTATTCGTCTGATAATCGGATGAATAAAAAATATATTATTCTTCCGACTACTGTCGGTTTTTATGACATCTACCACTTGCTTATTTTCTAATGTAAAATAAGGGATCTTTAGGTGTAAGCTTTTCTATAGGTATGCATAAAAAATTAACTTTAACCTACCGAGCTGAATCCTTATTTTTTACGATCCCAACGATTTTTAAGTTCAAGAGTTTTTATGTGTAAAAAGTAATTTTGAGATGCAGAAGTTTCTCTATGCAAAAAAATAATAATCTTAACCAACCGAACTACCATATATTAAAAAGAGAAATAGACACACCGTTTAATAATATTTATGAATACAGTGACAAGCACCATGGTGAATTGATAATATTACCTAGAATAATAATTTAGTACAATTTACAAGTTTGATTCCCGCATGAGGTAATTTGATGTGGACTGTTGTTAAGACATATTGGACGTCAGTCGTCGCAACTTTAATATTGGCAAATACTCACGTACGTAGCATACATAACAGAAAAATCGAAAATATGTACCAGTATTTTTATTACATAATTGCAATATTTTTGGTGAAATATATTGATACTTTACATACAAAACCACTTACTGAGGAACTAGTTTTCAGTTTGCTATTGCTGGCTTTGGTAGTTTTAGGGCGTGCAGGTGGTGTGGGCGGGGCGGGCGGAGTGCGTGGCGGACTACTGTCTCCGGCTTGAGGTCCATTTTTGTCTGAACCGTTACTAGACTGAAAGATAAATAATAATTTAAACATATAATTTTAGAGTAACTTTTCACAATATTCTATATAGGTACATACACGAATTGCAGTATATTCTCCTTTTAATGTCTATATAAATAAAAATGATATGCTATTCGTTGGTGATAATTATCACTTATAAATAGCGAGATCAATAAAATTTTAGATAATCTATAAAAAAGTAAAAAAAACCGAATTAGGAAAAAATTGAAAGTGCACTTTTAGTAATACTTTATTAAAATAAGACAAATGAATGATAAACGACGGCCGTTAAACATGAGGTAAACAAAGAATGTTGGTTCATTAAAAGTGAAAAAAAAACTTAGGCATCGAAACCAAGACTTCTCCAGGATCCTCAAATTCCTAAAGGTACTCAACCTAAAAAAGGAGCATTTTCACTCAAAGCAATATAAAACTTAAATCGCTTTTCCCATAAAACTCTGGGAGAAAACATTCCCCGTTGATTTGCCTGAGCGATGTTTGTACTTTGTTCATTCTAGCGAAATGAATTGTTAGGGAACACGACCGTCATTATTTCTAATTTTTTCCGTCCAAAACCTGTAATGGTAGCGTGAAATTAAAAGAGAACAACGCGGATTTGGGCTAATTGGTTAATTATTAATAGGGACGTCCGGTGGCAAATTTTACACGCGGTCGGTTGGGCGGACGCCAGCACGTAATAAAATGTGAGATTTAATATAACGTCACATGGACATATATAAGGAAATTATTTAATGTTTCGTCATTACTTACCTAATAATAATATGTTCGTGATGTAACGTTGGCAGCGTGTTTACGGTATTTATCTATTTCATAATCTTGCCAGATATTTTTGGGTAATAGCTTGTTCTCTAAAACCTTACAACTTAGGAACAAACAGTTTATACGTTTAAATTACTTTAGATTGCAGGCAGTTTTAATCCATGGGAAACTAACTATCCATGGAAAACTTTTACCAATCGTATATTCATTTATTTATTTTTTATATTTTTCATTTTATATTATTCATATATTATATTTTTATGGTAATAAAATCAATACTTACATCGGAATTTGTAGAGTTTGCACGGGACGGTGACGGGGGCGAAGTGACGCGTGATGTGTTCGACTCTCGCTCTGCGCTGCTTGCATTTGTGTCGGAGGTATTCGTTGTTTCTTTAATAAATATACATAGATTAGTTTTGCTAAAAATAAAATATAGCTTACCCAATTACTTTAATAACGTAAAATTTATAAAATACTTTGCAGTTACTGGAATATTAATTTGTGGATACTTTAAAATGTTTTTTAAATTAAATTATTTAAAAAACGTAATTAAATTAAGTATATAAACGGAGAAATTATATATTTCATTTTACACACTGAACTTCATATTGTAAGATATAAAAATAACAAACTGGTTGCGATGTTTTGTACATTGAGGAATCTTTAGCATCGAATAATCTTTATAATTCCACTCCCTTGCCGCGAAATACGTAAAAGTTCTTTTTGTTAGTGGGCCCTTACATAATCAAACTATCATCCGTACAATAATCAGGAGATTAGCTTTAGTAGTTCAGTTAGTGACTGTGTTGTACTTAGGTTTTATATACGACTATAATAATATTATGGATACCCAAATCAAGAATCGAACTCGAGACTTCCAGGATAGCTATACCTAGAAACATAGTAAAAGAAACGATATCAAACAAAATATTCCTTACTCGGTTCAGCCGGCGGTTGATGATGGTTTTCCGTGTGCCTGCGTAATGATCTCGCATCGCAGTATGACTTGCCGCATCCATCCGCCTTGCACTCATACGGTTTCTTGTTGCGATGCGTCAGCATATGCCCATTCCTACAGAATATACTAGTTAGACTCTGTTGTTTTATATTTATTACTTAGAATTTCAGTTTGTGCCGTTTAGTGATGATATATGAAGAATTTAAGAAGAGTGTGTGCTATGATTTGATTTTATTAACTTTTTAATTTAGAATTTCTCTTATATTACGGATTTAACATCAAACGCAATTTACTGCCATAATATATACAAATAAGAATAATATTGTTACATGTATATTTATTAAACAAATATATTTGCAATGAACATAATTTACCTTATTTTATAGTGTACATTTGTCACAATAAAGCTGTGTCAACATCAGATTTTTAATCACCATCCATCCGTCGTTAATATAACCCAGTTACGATTTCCAAATAGGTCACCAGATAACAAGGCCACTTTGCGTCGAGTCGATACGCGCATTTTGAACATTCATTAATATTCATGTGGCGTTCGTTGCTACGATTAAAGGGACGAGCGTCGGCGAACAATGACTTAGCGGGGATATGGACACTCCTTTATGTTTAATACCAGTATACTTAATGCTCGACAACCCCTTACAATATGCATAACTCGAGAATAAATTAATATTGTCATTCTCTCTGCAGGATTTCGAATTGACTCAAGCCAAGCCTACAACCTAGGCAAAGATAAATAACAATTGTTACTTGATATTGGCAGACCATGGTATAACTTAGCGAGTTGTTGCTGTTCTTGCCCGCATTAAACAAGTTAGTTACGTCTCAACTTTTTCCAGTACAGGCACAATTTCATGGCAATCGCTTTAAACGTGAACTGAGACGATACGATAGAGTCAATTGCATGAACATAGAGATTTAACGATTAACGAATATGTTAGACCTATAAATGAATGAATACAATAATTTAAAGCATGTATTTCAGAACTTAATAAAATTTTCTTCCACACATTTTATCCTTGATATTTCTATTAAAAATATCATTGATTTTTTATATTATTTACAAAAAATATAAAACGCTTTACCCAAATAATAGAAAAATTAGATTAGAGAAAATTATTTTTTGAAAGATTAGATTTTTTGTGAAGTTTTTTATTATGCCTTGCGGAATAGAAAAAGAAGGAGAGTGGTGAGAAAGACGGAGAGAGAATTTCTAGACACTTATGACTTATTTATGCAACTAAGTCATTGCTATTAACAAAAAAGAACGTATTATTTTTGTTTCATCTATCTTATTATGTACGTAATAGATATACATACATATATTGTATTTCCCTGTATTCTATTCTTGACTCTAAAATAGTTATAATTCAAAGTGCAATACTCACAGATGGTCTTGCCTCTTGAACGCCTTGGCGCAAGTTATGCATACGTATTTGCGCTCGTCGCTGTGTGTCAACTTATGCTTTGCCAGCGCTGACGCGTTCCCGAATATCTTGTTGCATACCTATGGAAAATTGGAGAAATGTAATTTATATCTAATATTTATTATCACAATAGTAATATTATAAGTTCTAATTTGATAGACACTTAAATTTAATTTTTGGTAAATAATCATTATTGAAAATTTTGAGGAAAACCTATATGAATAGAATTTACCCATCAATTTGAAAAGAAACGAACTTTTTCCTTTTTTTTATTGATAACAATACTCGTCAATAGCTACTAAATAAAAAAAGAATGAAAATCGGTTGGCAAACGAAGAAGAAGAAAGTGCTAAACTTTTTTATCTTACGTCATTCTTTACTGTTCTGTGTATTGTTTTGTGCACTGTATTCTTGTAATTTGTCATATTGTTTTGTATATATAATTAAATATATAACAAATATATTTCAATGCATTTTTATTTCTTGAAAATGGATGCCAAATATTACATCTGCTTTATTGAATTAAACTTAAAGTGGAAACCGTTGTAAAACCAAATCTTGTTTCATAAGCACGAAAACTTGAATGGATTTGAGCCAAATCTAGATAATGTAATACGATCTAGAAATGCATTGAAATTACATTCTTTAGCCTTAGAAATTGGGTCAAATGCGAAGTGATAAATAGAAATTGAGGAACTTTTCACGTTAGTGTTCCATTATCGTTGTGCGATAAGTTAGAAAAATGTTTAAGTTCTTAAAGATATATTGCTTTTAATAGCTTTCAGTGGGAAGCAAATTAAGAAGTTAAAAATATTTTTTTGATAATTAAATTGAAAAGACAGATTTTCTCGTAATACTTGAGTGTTGATAAATATTTTTTTTTGATAAATCGATTATTTACCAGTGTTTACATTATTTCCGACACATATGTATGAAGGTAAGCATTCTTCAAAATATTTTCTTACATGAAAACGTAGTGTGCTAAATCTTAAAACGTTACTATTATTTTATCGAAACATACAAGTATTTATTAACTTACTTTTTTTTTAATTTAAGAAAAAATCGTTTAAACAACTGAGAAATATGATAAGTAATAAAATTTAAAAGAAATCTTCAGGTAAATACAAAATTATATTCATATTTCAAAGTGACATTTGCTTAGTGAGACGTGCGTAGACTGTTATTATAATATTGGTGACGAGACGTAGACTTTAGAAACAAAAAACCTTTTCTATAAATATTTTATTAAATTTTGCTCGAATGACAAATGCGAGATATCTGATATAGACACAGCAAACAATATAATATCGGTGTGACACCAAATACAAAATATTCCGACCTATCGCCATTGTCTTCAATATTATTATTGAGCATTTGAATATTTTACTGCAACCCAAGAGTTTTGGTAACGCTCTGTTGTCGATGGCGGTCGAAGTATTTGCCTGTAGGAATATTTCTTCGCATCACTCCCTTTTTTGTTATACCCTTTTAGTGCGGTTATTGCTGTGTTTGCTGAAAGGGTTTATAGTCAACTTTTTATACAATCCTATAATGTGGAACACTTATATTATTTATGTCATTCGACAGAACTAGGTCGATTCATTTTAACGATTGATCTCGTAATGTATTTTTTTTAATTTTGCTATGTTACTTTCGATTATTAAAGATATATTAATGTATCCTTACAAAATTCCAATCCATATCCTTTTATATAAAAATACGAAAATTCAGGCCAGCATATCTCTCATCTATACGGCACAAAATAAGTCCCTTCGCCACAATAGGTTTTTCCTATGGGACGTGAGTTAGCCCTAAAAATCGCTCGCCCCTCCAATGAATACCCATCGAATATAATAGACATATAAAAATATGTAATGGCTTCTCGTCGCAGGGTCCGTTAAGTTATCTCACGGACAGATCGTTTATGTAAGGTTTATGTCATAGGCTTTTATTGGGAAGTAAAGTGAAATGACGACTTATGTTTTATATAAATAATATTGATGTTAATATGATAGATGACATGTGGCAAGGTAAACAACGTTATGGTAGATGTTATCAGATTATGAAACAACCGATGTTTATATTCCAGTGTATCAACAACATAAATGACAATTTCTTTTTGAGAATCTAAATTTTAGTAGCTTACTTGGCAAAAATGTTTGTAGAATAAGGATATGTTATTTGATTTAACTAAAAATAATAATGTCAAAACAATATTGTTATATAATATATTTGTGTAACAATATACCATTCAGTTATTATTTACAAAGCTATAAAATTTCCCGACAAATCTATTCTAAGTTTGATCTATGAAGTATGAAAAGCATATATCATTGAAAAATGTGTACAAAAGTTATTTGAATAAAAAAGTACGGCGCACTATACTCCACTATGCCGTATATTTAAATTACATTTGAATTATGTCAGTTCCCAGGACAGTCGTTCTGTGGCACTTGGGCAGCGCGCAACATGCAAATCATGTATTATCGTTATACACTTAGGTATATCATATTTTCTTTACTGTCACCAAACTAAAAGAGAATTTATTTTAATTTAAAAAATAACACTAGCCCTGTCTATTATATCAGAGGCTATGGATTTGATTCTTGCACTCGGTAAATGTCTACACTAACTATATGCATTTTGCTCTAATATTTTTTATAATATATGGAAGATTGATGGTAAGCATTAGCCGTAGACTATGCACTATTGAAAGACCATTTCCTGGGACATAACTCGCTACCAACATTTTTTACCACCTGTGATATATACAGGTAAAACAGGTACATGTTAGGTGGAATAGGTATGACAATGATAAAGGTGTAGGAATTGAGTGGTTGGACCTCCAGCGCTTTTTATACATTCTAGTTAAACAAACTAAGCATTCGTAAACTGGTATGTTGCTGAGTCGAACGAGTAGTGTATGATTTTATTTTAAATGCCCAGCGGCCACGGTGTTTGACTTTTTTAGAAATCAGATTTCTAACTATTAAACGTAAATATTGTCACTGAAAGAAAACAGAATTTAATATTATATATCTGTAGTATTTTTTCTTTATGCTCCTAAAAAAGAGAAAATGAATTCATAAATGTAAATAAACTATTATGATTTTTATTTTATTAAAAAAATATTTTTATTATTTCAAAGACAGTATAATTGAAAATTAATAAAAAGAATGTTCAATATTGTTAGAAATGGTGTTATTACAGAGATTGCTTACTTTGTTTGGTTAATATGGAGCTCTTTATGAATCGATTCAGACAATACACCAATAAATTACCAGTTCATATATGTATTGTTTGACTTTATCTATACATATAATAAAATTCTAATTGAGTCGAATGTGTACATTAAATATATTTTTTGGAAAATCTTATTTATAGGTTTTAGAATTTTTGACCGTCTGTCTGTCTGGGAACGCATCATGAGAAAATCACTGGACAGATTTTAATGAAATTTGGTATGATGTAAGCTGGTTATCCGGGTCAACATTTAGAATACTTTTTACTGCGGAAAAATATCTCATCTCTGAGAAATCTAATGTTAAAATGTACCTAGGGACGAACCCGAGCGGAGAGAGGGAGTCGCTATTATTAAATGAAACTCAAAACATAATTTATGTAAAAAGTTTTTTAAATGATCAAATTTGACATCAACGAAGTCAGTTGATATGAAACAGATACTTTTTCCACATCTATATGCTGCATTTTTAAAAATCTTTATATATATAAAAATATTCACAAAAATGAAATGAATACGTTTCATTTTATTTTCACCAAAACCTCTTTTTCATCCTTTTAATACAAAGCTAGGTTTCGTTGTAGTAATAAAATTTATTTCTATCCGGTTTCCTGCCATTTTATTCCATAAAGCTCGACCTAATTCACGGGCCGTGACCCACATCAAAAATGCATGTAAAACCGGGTCGTGCGTCTTCTCGCAACAATTTTTCACTTGACATTGTTTTATAAGAACACTTTTCGTTTACGGAGACGTTGAGATTCATCTTATAAAATCCAAAATAAGTAGTGATGTTTTTAAAGCGCTTAAGTTAGAGACTAAAATAAAAACTTTTCGGTCACTAGTAAAACATTGCTAAGAACAATTATATATTGCTTTACAGATCTGTTCATCCATATATATAATAAGGCTTATTTAAAAAATATATTTGTATTTAATGTTATTTCACCCGAAATCAATCCGAGGAACAGGTGGCAAAGGCTACGTCATATCCGTCATAACAAAGTGTTGGGATATCGAGATCATAAGATCCATTTGCTTGTGACGCAATTTCCGTAGAAATATGAGACGGTATGGGAAAATCGCAACATTCAGTCTAAGTCAGGGGACTATACGACACTCACGCAACGAACATCCGATATAAACAGTATGACTATATGTAAATGTAATATATGTTCATAGATATTCAAAGTTAAAATTAGACATGAAACAAAAATGTTAAGCAATTCTTTTGTCTTAGGTAAATGAGTACGTCGATTGATTTAGCGTATGTCCTTGCTGCTGGGCAAATATCCCTCAATGTGCTGGAATCTAGTCACTAGAGCATATCCCAATTACAGGACAAATACAGATTGACAGATTTCACACATCTTGGAAACTAGTTACGTTATCTCGGATTTCCTTACAATATGATTCATTCATTAACATCTCAGATTCGAACCTTAGTTCATTTAGCTTTCCATGGGTTACTACTGCTTTAAGAAGTAAAGAGTAGATATACAATTTCAACTGTGTGCTATTTTGTCAACGTTTAGACATACGAAAAAGAAAATGCTTATTGTAAAATTGTAAAGAAATGTTATTGTGTAACAGTAAGTATGGCACAATTATGGTAATTTTTATGACGGCAATGTTAGAGTAAATTTCATGTATGGAACGTGCGTTATATAATTATAATTTAAAAAAATCATGTTTCATATTACATTCATAATAGTGTATATAAAATGAGTCACGTCATAGTTAAATTTTATATTAATTAAATATCCACTTATATATCTTATGGAATCAAGTCATGAAATTTGCAATGTGCTTTGAAATATGCGAATAGTTAGTTTTAAA